GATCCAGTCAGACCCAGTATGATGCCATTTGTTCCCAGTTGCTGGCAGTCACCCACACTACAGGGATGACGTGCATGATGTGTTCCCAGTCACTCCCAGTCACTCCCAGTATTAGTTCAGTCCTCCCAGTATCATCCAAACATGACTCCAGTGTGGCCCCACTCACTGCCACTATGAAACAGTTGCACCCCACATGGTTTCATTTCCTCTCTTTCACTCTCACTTTTGTTCCAGTCACTCCCAGTTCCTCCCAGTATATTCCCAGTCACTCCCAGTTCCTCCAGCATGATTCCATTTGCTCACAGCCACTCCCAGCCAGCCTCGGTGCAGTCACACTCACTGCGAGTACGATCCCAGTCACCTCCAGCATGATCCCAGTTCATCCTAGTGTAAGCCCAGTTGCTTCCAGTCATCCCCAGCAGGCACCCAGTCACTCCCAGTTCCTCCCAGTCACTCCCAGTTCCTCCCAGTCACTCACAGTCACTCTCAGGACGACCCCAGTCATTCCCAGTATATCCCACTTGCCCTCAACATGGTTTCAATTACCTCCCGCAGGCTCTTACTCATTACCAGTATGATCCCAGTACGATCCCAGTACAGCCTCCCAGTCACTCCCAGTGATGCCATATCTGGGATCCCGCACCCCGGACCTCCAGGCTCCCCCGAGAGGAGCCCCAAGGGCTGGAATTTCCCAGCCAGGGTCCCCAGCAAGCCCCAGTTTGGATGTGCAGCCCCCAGTTTCCCTCTCCTTTTCGCCGGGCCGGGTTCCCCCCGGCCCCAGCGGGTGGGAGCAGCCGAGAGCCCCGCGCTGCCCATCCCGACCTGTCCCGGCTCCATCCCCGCTCCTGCCGCGGGCTGCGAGGGCTCCGGCAACGGGCCGGGAGCGATGGGGATGGTGGAGCCGAGATGGAGGAGGGCTGGAGGGATGAAGAGGAGGAGGAGGAGGAGGAGTGTGAGGAAGAGCTGGGATGGAGGAGGAGCAGGAACTGGAAGCGCAGGGAACACGCGGTCCAGCCCTCGCTGTGCCCGCAGCCCCCCCGCCCCTGGGCCATTGTCCCCCCAATCTCACAGGAGAGCGCGGAGGGGGAGCTCGCCCAAATATCCTGGGGGCTCCGTGGGAGAAGATGTTTTTATCCAGGGGGAGTGAATTTTTGGAGCTTGAATGATCCCAGAGCTAAGCCAGAGATGGCCTTTGGGGAGATTTTGGAGGGTTCCCGGGAGGTTGTTTATTGCCGGGGGGGTTGGGGCAGGAGAGGGGAGAACACTGGGACACCGAATTGTGCAGCCCAGGGAGAGGAGACCCCAGATGGAGCCTGGAGAGGGGAACACCCTGGGGAGGGGGAGCCCCTGGAGCTCCCCGCAGGCTGGAGCAGAGTCAGGGGAAAGGGGAACACCGGGACCCCCGGCAGCACAGAGAAGGGGCAGCCCCAGAAGCCCAAGGATGGAAGAGCAGAGATGTAGCCGTGGAAAGGGGTTTTAACCCTTTAAGTGCGGCGGAAATAAGATGCACAGCTACATGGTCATCTTTCATGACAGAAAAAAGAGACAAGTTTATTCAGAAACACACTTGATTTTATAGCATGACTCGCAATTCCAAGAGTAGAGAAAAGGTGATTGGTTCAGAGAGAAGACACCCCATTGCCAGGGCCTGGTCAGGCACCACAACAGGTGTTCTATCTTGTTATTAATTCTTTTTTATTTTGACCAAATTATTACCCTGGGAGTAATTCTCCCTAGCGTTGAGCTGGACCAGGTTATCAGCTGGGAACAGAGCTGAGAAGCTGCAGCCTGGAATATTTTTCAGGCTGTAATTTTCTTACTTTCTCAATATGTGTCCCACAGGAGAGGGGGGACCCGAGGGATTCCTGAGACCCCTGCCAGCCTGGGAGGGTGGGGACCTGAGACAGGAGAACTCTCAATACATGCAGGACCCCCAGAAGTCCAAACTGGAGAGATCAGAGAGGGAGATATCCTGGGGAGTCTTCTTAGGAAAAATCATGATCCATTCAGATCCATTCAAGTACTGGAGGGCTAAATCTTGGTATTTCTAAGAGGTTTTCCAGCTAAATCTTTTGGTCTGAAGTATTTTTAGACTCAGTCTTAGTGAAGATTTTTATGAAAACAAAATGTCTAGTGACTTCTAGAGATGGTCTTGGGCAGGAGGAATTCCCAGGCAAACGGTCTCACACCTTGTTTTCCCCCAAAACTGGATTTCCTATTCCCAAACCTTGGCCTGTCGGAGGAGGCTGCAAGGAGAAGGAGGATGTCCCGGGAGCCCCAGGCAGGTGAGGAGGAAGCCCCTGGCCCTTTCCCCCTGTGTCCTGCTCCATGTCCCAGCCCAGCACGGCCCCCGGCTGCAGGACAACCCCCCGACCTGGGGGGATCTCCTTCCCCTTCCCTGTGGCACGGAGGCAAATCCCATCCTCTGCTTGTCCTTCCTGCCCCAGGCAAGGAGCTGAGGCCGGAGAGCAGCGAGGACAAATCCCCGCGGCAGAACCTCGTGGGAGAGGCCGTTTGCAGCGGCTCCACGGCACAGGAATGCAACGGGGAGGAAAAGCCGCGGAGATCCCGCAGCAGGAGGGGCTGCAAACGCAGATCCCGGGGATCCCAGCAGGAAAGACCCAGCCTGGGCCGGGGAGGTGGGCAGAGATATAATCTGAGCTCTTATCTTGTGGTCCCTGAGCAGCTTCACGATGGGGAGAAGCCCAAAAAATGCCTGGAATGTGGGAAGAGCTTCAGTGACAATTCCTACCTGTGCTGGCACCAGAAGATCCACAAAGGGCTCCTTTGGGACATGGTGGTGTCCACGTGGGGACGAGGGGCTGAAGGTGTCCCCTTAGCCATTGAGGACATGACAGAAGCCATGTGGGGACAAGAGATTCTTTGGGGACATGGCAGAGGCCATTTGACGACACGAGACTTGATGGGAACAAAGCAGAGGCCTTCTGGAGACACAGGAGGTGACAATCCCTGTCTGGGAGGTGACAATCCCTATTTAGGGGGTGACAACTGCTGTTTGAAGGGTGACAACCCCAGTTTGGGAGGTGACAAGTCCCATTTGATGGCTGACACCCCCGTTTAGGAGGTGCCACCCTGCCCATACCCACATAGCACTCGCTGAACTCCCACGCCCAATGAGCCATGGTTGCCACCTTCTGTGTCCCCACGTCCCTCAGGAGCTCCGGGCTGGGAAACAGCATCTTCAGCACCCCCAAAACTTCCTCCTTCTTCAGAACTCTGTGTCCTGCCAGTTCCCCAAAATCCTGGCGCCGGTAACTGCTGACTGCATCCTGCATCTGAGCCATTCCCGGTTCCATAGCAGCTCGGCTTTCCGGGCCAGCCACACCCCCAGGACCACCCCATCCATGGCCCCGATGGCCATAAGGTCCGGGATGGGACTGGGGTCACCTCAAGGTGAAATCCTGGTGGTTGTTCACGTCATCCCAGCAGTCGCTGGGCCCCAGAGCGGTGGCATTGTTGTCACCCCCCCTGCGCAGGAAGGATGTCCCCAAAGCCAAGAGGGGCTCGGCAGCTGCGTCGAGGGCGGGGAGGGGTTGCCCAAAGTCGCCGGATCTCAGCTCCACCCTGATGCCGGCCAGGACGGGACCAAGGGCCACCGTGGAGCTGGCAGGGGCCAGCACCGCCCCCAGCTCCGGTGTCGCCAGGTTGTGGCACAGGAGCTCAGTCAGGAGCTGCCACTGGCTCACAGTGAGAGCCCGGGGGGGGTCTGGGGGTCCCAGGGGACTCGCCCAGCACTGCTCAGCACTCCAGGGTGCTGCAGACCCCCAACCCCTTCCCCAAGGCCGCGGGGGTACCAGGGGAACCATCCCGGGACGGAGACTTGAGGGCATCCAGGATGGCGAGCACCGAGTCCAGGTGGCTTGGGGGGACAGCTGGGGACATGCCCGGGGGGCAGCCGGTGAGGGGGGTTAAGGGGTGGGGAGAGGACTGGAGGAGGGGAAAGGCACCCAAAAAAGTACCAGAAGCAAGAAGGCGCCTGAGTTTAGGGGAAAAGATGTAAAAGGGGGGAAAGGATCCAAAAGAGGAGGAAGGGAACCAAAATAAGGGGAAAAGAAACAAAATCGGGGGGAAAGACCCAAAAGAGGGGAAAAGATACAGAGTAAGGGAGAAAGTATCTGGAATAGGGGGGAAAGTATCCAAAACAGGGGGGAAGGACCCAAAATCAGAGGAGAAAGGGTTTCATGAAGTGTCACAGGGTACAGGGTGTCATGGCGTGTCCCTACCTGTGCCAGGGTGGGTGCAGACACTCAGCGCCAGGAGCAGCTTCAGAAACATCCTGAGGGACACGGGACACCTTGCAGGACACGGGCCCGGGACCTCAGGGACTTAGGCCCTGCCAGGGGTGGGGGACAGGGACACATGGAAGGGGACAGGGACACACTGAGGGGTGATAGGGAGACACAGTGGAGGATGGGGACAAATGGAGGGGAGGGCACACGATGCCACCAGGACACACAGCAGGGGATAATGTTGCCACACCTGTGGGGACATTGCCACTAGGACACCTCTGGTGACACCCTGAGTGAGGCCACGTGACACTGCTGGTGGCACTGACCCTTGCCCTGTCCCCAGAGGTGGCTGGGTTTCCCTGAGGGTGGTGGCCATCACTTTGCTTCCAGGCCACTTGTCACCAACTGAACAAGCCCTGTCAGCAACCCTCCTGCTCTGGTGGGTGGTGACATTCAGTGACTGCAGTAGTGACAGCGGGGATGTGGTGGCAGGAACTGAATTGGGCAGCATTTCGTCATGGCCGAGATGAAGGTCCTGGTGGCATTGATGCTCTCCCAGTTCGTGTCCCCACTCATGTCCATGTCCCCTCATACCCCCAGCTAGTTCTGTGTCCCCATCAATGTCTATGTCCCCAGGAAAGGCTGTGTCCTGTCGTGTCCTCATCCACGATCTCACCCATGTCATTGTCCACCATGGTCTCCCCATCCAGGCCTTACCAGTTTCAGAATTTTCAAAGGGATGAGTGGAAACCTTGGCATTTCAAGGCCAAAAAAAAAGGATTTACTTGTCCCTGCTGGCAGAGCATCCACATGCTTGGCTGGGTGGGAAGAAACTTTTTTGGAGGCATTTCCACCCCACTGTCTCCAAAATCAGGGGTTTTGCCCCAGTCTGTTCCCATTCGGCTGTGGAAGGTGCCCATGGGCAAGAGAGAATTGAAACGATGGATTTAAATTGCAGAAGACCTCCAAGGCCACCCAGTGTTGCTTCATGCCACCAGAAGATGCAAAAAGTGAGATTTTTCTGGGGTCAGAAGTCGACAAATGTGCTCTCCACAGTGGATTTCTGATGTTGGTCAGTGGATGTGTCCAGGTGCCCACGGGGAGCCAGGAGGATGTGGAGCCCCCAGCCAGGTGTGTTCCCAACAGGGATCAGCAGCACCAGGGATCATTGGGGCTCTGCCCACCGGGGGTCACTGGGGATCATCCAGCATGGATCCTGCCATGGGGGATGGAGCTGGAGCAGAGCACGAAGCTCTTCCAGCACTCGGGGCAATCACAGGGCTTCCCTTAGTGGAGACTCCGTTGGTGTTTGTTCAAGTGAGAGCTCTGTGAGAATCTCTTCCCACACTCAAGACACTCGTAGGGCCTCTCCCCGGTGTGGATGCGCCGGTGGGTGACGAGGTTGGAGTTGTGCCTGAAGGTCTTCCCACATTCTGGGCAGTGGAAGGGCTTCTCCTCTATGTGAATGCGCTGGTGCAGGAGGAGACTGGAGCTGGTTGAAAACCTCTTGCTGCATTTATCACACTCGTAGGGCTGTTCCCCTGTGTGGATCCTTTGGTGCACAATCAGTTCAGAGCTCGTCCTGAAGCACTTCCCACAGTGGCCACACTCGTAGGGCATCTCCCCAGTGTGGATCCGCAGGTGGGAGACAAGGCGGGAGTTGTATTTGAAGCCCTTCCCACAGCTGGGGCAGCGGAACGGCCTCTCCTCTGTGTGAGTCCGCTGATGCATAAGGAGATTGGAGCTGGTCTGAAACCTCTTCCTACACTTGGGACACTCGTAGGGCCTCTCCCCGGTGTGGATCATCTGGTGGCGGAGAAGTTTGAATCTTGTACTGAAGCTCTTGTCACACTCCCCACACTCGTAGGGCCGTTCCTCCACGTGGACTCTCCAGTGGCAGATCAGGGAGGATCTCTTGCTGAAGCTCTTCCCACAGTTTGAACACTTGTGGGGCTTCTCCCCATCGTGAAGCTGCTCATGGTCCCCCAGCTCCGAGCTCTGGCTGCAGCTCTGTTCACTTCCCTGCCCCAGGCTGGGTCTTTCCTCTTCGGATACCCAAGATCTGTGCTCACAGTCGCTCACCATGTGCGATGTCTGAGGCTTTTCCTCCCCGTTGGATTCCTGCTCCACGGAGCCACTGCAAACGGCCTCTTCCACGAAGTTCTGCCGCGGGGATTTGTCCTCCTTGGTCTCCATCCTCAGCTCCTTGTCTGGGGCAGGAAGGACAAGCAGAGGATGGGATTTGCCTCCGTGCCACAGGGAAGGGGAAGGAGATCCCCCCAGGTCGGGGGGTTGTCCTGCAGCCGGGGGCCGTGCTGGGCTGGGACATGGAGCAGGACACAGGGGGAAAGGGCCAGGGGCTTCCTCCTCACCTGCCTGGGGCTCCCGGGCCATCTTCCTCGTCCTCATGGCCTCCACCTCCTCCTCTATGCGGCCAAAGTTTGGGAATGGGAAATCCTGATTTGGGGGGGAAAACAAGGGCTGAGCGCGTTGTGTTCGATGGTCCCGCTGCCCAAGGGCAGCTGCAGAAGTCAGCGCCCCTTTCAGCCTCGGGGGGCCCGGAGCCCGCTCAGCACCGACCTCCCGCACCCCTCCAGGCTGCCGGGGGTCCCCGGCTCCGGGATCGCCCCTCTGCGCTCTCCCCGCTCCTGGGTCCCCCGTTCCCTCCCCGTTCTCCCGGGGATCCCCAGACCCGATATCGGCCCCTCCCCGCAACGTGGGACCCCTCCCAAGATCCCTCCCGAGGCATTTCCGGCTCGGCTTTGGCGTCCTGCAAGATCCAAACATTCCCTGTCCCGCAAAAAAACCCCTCCCGAAGACCCTCTCGCGAAGCATTTGGAGCGAGACCCCCCTTCCCGTTCACCTGCGGGTCCCGGGCGGAGCCGGGGGAGCTGCGGCCTGATCGAGCGGGCAGGCGGCGAAGCCGCGCGGTTCCACTGCTGCAGCTCCTCTTCCTCCGGCACCTCCTCTTCCTCCTCTTCCCGCTCCTCCTCTTCCTCCCGCTCCTCCTCCGCTCCCAACCCGGCCCGGACAGGTGGCGACACCTAAAAGCAACCACGCTCTGCACTGAGGGGGTTCCAAAGCGGCCCCGCCCCGCGCGGCACTGGGAGCGATACTGGGAGCACTGGAAGCGATGCTGGGAGCCCTGGGCAGAAATTGGGAGCGCTTTCCCTGCCAGCACCGCTCTTACTGGGAGCGCACTGGGAGCGAACTGGGAGCAAAGAGCCGGAGGCAGCTACAGCCGGCGGTGGGCGGGGCCAGAGCCAAGGGCGTGGTTATGCAAATCTAGGAGCGATCGCGTGCTGTGATTGGTGGGCGGGAGCAGCACGGTGTTTCCCGGTCACGTGAGGGCTGGGGTGGGGCCCGGAGCGATGGCGGCGGCGTCCAGTGAGAGGGGACCGGGACCGGGAATGGGGACAGGGAGCGGGAATGGGGACAGGGACCAGGAATGGGGACAGGGACCAGGAACGGGGACAGGGACCGGGAACACGCGACCGGCAATGGGAATGGGGACTGGGATAGGGACAGCCCCGTGTCATCCCCTGGGGGGCGAGGAGGGGACAGCGACTGGGCTGTCGCACCGTGACCTGGCTGAACTGGGAGCTCGTGGCGGGGGTCGCATTTTCGGAGTTCCTCTCGTCCTGTTCTTGGGGGGAGCAGTCAGCACCCCCAGCACCCCGCGGTGCCCTCCACTACCTCCCAGTGTCCCCCAGTTCCTCCCAGTACCTCCAGTGGCTCCCTCAGTATCCCCAGTGCCTCTCAGTGTCTCCTGGGGGTTCCCCTCATCTGGGTCTGGGGGTCCGTCAGCACTCCTGGTACCCCTCCAGTAGCTCCCAGTACTCCCAGTAACCTCAGTACCTCCCAGTATCGCCAGACCAGGCCAGAGGCTTTATCCTGATCCTGGTTTGGTGTCCAGTTCCAGTGCCAGTGTCCATTGTCCTGATCCCCACCCCGTGTCCAGCTGCTGTGCCATGATGCCAAGCACTGCCCCAGGTGGCTTCCATCCCCAGTGCCAGTGTGCAGCCCCGGGTCCCGGTTCCCGGGGCCAGGATGCCAAGCTTGGGCTTGGTGTGGGGCCCTGGGCATGGCTGGGGCACGGCGTGAAGGGTTTCATGGGACATGGGACATGGAATATGGGGCACAGGACATGGGGCACAGGACACGGGACATGACCGTGAGCATGGCACAGGACATGGGGACAGGGTACCTGCCCCAGCCTGTGACCCAAGGGTCTCTGTGCCCACACGTGCCCCACATGTGGACCCCCGTGTCGTCACCGGGGACCCTCCTGCCTGCCGGGTTCAGGTTCATGGCCTCGGACGTGGCCTTCTCACTGCGGGTCCTGCTCCACCACGAGCCCTGGGGACACTGTGGGGTCAGGAGGTGCCACCCTGGCACCCCAGGGGACACTCCCGATGTCCCCACTTACCTCCTCATCCCTGCCTAGTGGCACCGGGCGTCCATCCACCAGCTAGAACTAGGACACGTCTCACATGTTGGCATCGGGCAGCACTAGTGCCACTGATAGTGGGGATGTACCCAAGGGGACAGAACAGGGTGTGGGTGCCCACAGTGTCCCTGTCACCCACAGGGGGATGTGGCATGGCTGTGCCACCAGGGGTGCCAGGATGAGGTGGCCATGGAGGTGCCGCCAGGGGTGTGGTGACACCAAGGGACACATGGCCACGGAGGTGCCACTGCAGGTGGTGGGATGCCCACGGAGGTGCCACCAGGCGCTTGGCAGTGCCAGGGGACACGTGTCCATGGGGTGGCAATGCTGGTGGGCGTGGCAGTGTGACAGTGACAGGCCAGGCCGGGGTGGCCCTGCCGGTTCCGAGCCAGTTTGGTCGGTCTCTGTGCCGGTGTTGTGGGGCCACCGTCAGTGGCACAGGGACACGCAGGGATGTGGGAGTGACAGGAGGAACTGGGCACACCAGGGGGCTGTGCCAGGCCAGCACCTCCCACTCCTGCCCTTCGTCCTTGAGAAGGTGGCACGGGGACACCAAAAGGGGTTGGCAACATTGGGGACACAGTGGTGGTTTGGGGACATGGAGGTCCTCAGGCCATGGAGGTGATTTGGGACACCGGGGTGATTTGGGGACACTGAAGTGCCTCAGTGCCACCCCCAGCATTGTTTCCCTGTCCCCACAGTACCTGGCTGTCCTCAACGAGACCCTGGGCCACTACCCCTACTCTGGCACTGGGGGTGGCACCAGGGGTGGCACTGGGCTGTGGCTGTGCCTTCGACATTGACCCCAGCATCATCACCAGTGGGGACACTTGGGGTTTGGGAGTTGGGGGTGCAGGGTTTGGAGTTTGAGATTCGGGGTTTGGGATGCTCTCAGGGGATTTGGGATGCTCTCAGGGGATTTGGGATGCTCTCAGGCCATGTGGCGTGGTTCCAAGAGGTTTGGGAGTTGAGTTTTGGTTTGGGGTTTGGGTTTGAGGTGCAAGGTTTGGGATGGTCCCAGGGCATTTGGGGGTTGGGATTTGGGGTTTGGGGTTTGGGATGGTCCTGGAGCTTTCAGAATGGTCCTGGAGCATATGAGATTCAGGATTTGGGAAGTCCCAGGGGCTTTGGGCTCTTGGCATTCCCTGACCCCAGTCCCACACAGTGCCTGGGGGTGCACCCTGGGGACCCCTGGCCACTGGCACTGGATGGCACTGACAGCAACTCCACCCTCCAGTTCCACAGGTAAATCCCCAAAACCCCCAAAATTCCCAAAAATCCCACCCAGGGACGTTTCCCATCCATAAAATCCAAGTGTGGGATTTGTGGTCCCTTTTTCCAAATTCCTGCATGGGATTTTGGGGTGGAATTTTCCTTTCCCAGGATTCCCTTTTCCCTTTCCCAGGATTTTTTTTGAGGATTTCTTGGCCAAGTTTTCCCTTTCCTGTTGTTTTTTTTTGGGGGGGGGGGATTTTGGGCATAATTTTCCCCTTTTTAGGGTGTTTTTTTTTGGATTTTGGGAACTCTTGAGGTTTTTTTGGGATTTCAGGTGGAATTTTCCATTCTCCTTGGATTTTTTTGAGATTTTGGGGTGGAAATTTTCCTTTTCTCATTGTTTTTTTTTGGGGATTTTGGGGTGGAATTGTAATTTTGGGGGATTTTGGGGTCAGATTTTTCCTTTTTTGTTTTTTTTTTGAGACTTTGGGAACTCACAGGGGATTTTGGGGCAGATTTGTTGCCTTTCCTGTTCTTGGGGATTTTTTTTGGGGCTAAATTTTCCCTCTTTCATTAGTTTCTTTGGGATTTTGAGGTGAATTTTTTCCTCTTTTTGGTGATTTTGAGGCGTCCTGTGGTGTTTTTTTGTCCCCTGAGGCTGATCTGTGTCACCATGAAGTTCCAGCTCGAGGCCACGGACATCCAAACGCTGCTGAAACACAAAATCCCCGACTGTTACACCTTCAGTGACACTGACTGTCCACAAGTGTCCCTAAATGTCCCGAAGTGTCCCCTGAATGTCTTTCTTGTATCCTCCCATGTCCCTTTCGTGTGCCTCATGTCTGTCCTGGTGTCCCACTCGTGTCCCTCTCGAGTGTCCCTTGGCTGTTCCCTGGTACCTCTGTGGCCTCACAGCCGGTGGGTGCTGTGACAGTGATGGTGATGATGGCAGTGACAGTGACAGCGTGTCTTAGTTTGAAAGTTTCTGCTAAGAAAGGCAGGAGCTCCTCTTTGAAATGGAAAATGCAGACCCCCCCTCTCAGGAAAAGATTTGGGGGTAGGAATAACAATTATTTACTGATATAATACATATATATATATATGTATATATAAAACCAGGCAAACAAAACAACAACAAATACTAAATTAACAAGAGAACAGAAACCCAGTAACAGTTCTCTCGGCCCTGGACACCTTTCCCCCGTGGTGCAGTTGCCGTTCCAGCCGGCAGGGCAGAGATGTGGCGATCGCAGGCGGCTGCAGGGGCGCTGGGGGTGACGGTGGCTGTGTCCCCACGGCAAGGGTGGAGGGGACAGACGCTGCTCACGGATCTTGGGGGGCAGTGTCGGTCCCGGTGTGCGGTCACTGCGCTGCAAAGAGAGAGAAAGGACAGCAACACACACCGAGCTCTTTTGGGGAAAAAAAGGCCAATTTATTGTACGGACATCCCGTATTTAACGTATTTAAAGTGCAGCTAGGACAGGACAGGAGTTCATTGGACAACTGGGACAAACATCCCCTGGGACAGCATGTCCGGATGTCCCCTGGGAAAGACACCAGGTGTTAATCTTTATTATGAATTCCTTTCTGTTTTTCACCAAGTTATCACTCTGGGAGACTGCCTTGTAGGAATCTTTGCTTTGGGACGGTCGGGACAAACTCAGGAGCTCCCTTTATTCTGGTCTTAAAGTTTGCAGTTTATTTTGTCGGGTGTGGGTTTATATAAGGCCCTGCTGGGAACTGCAGCCACAGCTCAGAGCAGGGCGGAGAGAGGGATAAAATGAGAGTAAGAAAAAGGAACTTAAGAAAGTAAGAACGAAGAGAATAAAAGCATAAGAGAGTAAAAGCATAAGAGAGTGATTTTCCCGTTTACAATACATTAAATCTTCTTCTATGTTGAATATTCTAATTTTCACTAACCAATCTAATACAAGATACAAATTCTCTAACATTTGCATGCAACCTATAGGAATCACTATATTACCATATTTTACTGCTTTTCTCATCTCTAAATTTTATCTGGGACCTTTCCTGCCATGCCTAGGGAGGATGTCTGTTTGCTCTTTGGTATTTGCAGCATCTAACATTATCTAAACAAAGGGGCCTTCAGGCATTCAGTTGCTTTCAGCCACACAGTCAAAAATTGCTGTCATTTCTATTTCGCTTATATTTTCCATATTCTCAAAGTCTTTTGCTGGGCACTCGTATTTATAAAGTTTCCCTAATCCATCCTTCCCAACACTGCCTCCCTTAACTGAAGCTGCAGTCAGCTTAGCCTGGGAATGGAGCTGAGAGTCAGGAGAAACCCAGGCCTGAAAGGAATTGCCAAGCTGCAATTTCCAAGCTCTCTAAATGTGTGTGTCCACACCGGTGTTCCAGCAGGCTGCGTGGACGTGGCAGGCTGAAGCCCGAGGGTGTCCGAGCAGGGGCTGCGGGGTTACAGAGCCGAGGAAAGGCAGATCCCGGCCTTGGGATGACAGGGCGAGGTCTCTGCAGCGGGCTTGGGTTCTTCTCCGAGCCAAAGGAATGGGAGAGCGAGCAGAGCAGCTGCGCCCACCTCTCCTTTACCTGCCCCTGATCTCGCCGTGTTCTCCCTCTTCCCCCGCCCCCGCCACCCTGCGAGAGAAACTCCAAAAAAAAAAGGGACAGGGAGTCCCCTCCCCATGTTACTAGCCATCTTAGCATGTCAATGGAAAAAATTCCAGACTGAGAGGAGAGGGGAAAAGAAAGAAAAAAACAACCCCCAACACAGTGACACTGACAGTGATGGTGACAATGACAGTGCCACCCAGTGTCCCCAGGTCACATTTGACAACTGCGTCCGTAGCAGGTGAGTGCAAATCCGCCTCGACACCCATCTGGGAGTGCCACCACCCCTCGCTGCCCAGCAGAAGGGACAGTGGGTTACAATGGATGACGGGGGACAGGGGGACAGGGGGACACGGTGATGGGGTACCAGGTGCCCCGGCACCTCCGTGCTCTGGGCACAGGCAGGACGAGAGACATTTCCGTGGCGCCCCAACCACACTTCCCTGCCAAACCCGCTCCCCTCACACCTTGGGGACACCCCTGACTCCCTCTGTGCCACCCTGGGGTGCCCCTCAGTCTGGGAGGGGCTTGGTGGCACCGCAGGACCCCCTCTCTGTGCAATCCCCGAGGTGTCACCTGCGCTTTTTGTCACTGCCACCTGCCCATCTGTCATCAGCGCCCCAAAGCGGGACGTGCCCCACATCCTACAGGAGGGTGGTGACAACATTTTTGGGGTCATGCCCAGCCACTTCCACTCCCCGCATCCCCCTGAGGATGCTGCGCGACCCCGCGCTGCCCTGGATGTAGCATCCCCTGAGGGCACCTAGGGGACTTCAGGGACTGTCCCCGTGGTGCCTCTGCTGCTGCGTCCGCGCTCAGCCCGGGTTCCTGCCGCGACTTCCCCATGTGACCAGGCAGGAGTTTGTCACACCCTCACCTTCTCCTCTTCCTCCTCTTCCTCCTCTTCCTCCTCTTCCTCCTCTTCCTCCTCTTCCTCCTCTTCCTCCTCTTCCTGCTCCTTCTCCCGCTGAGGACGTGATGTCACTGCTCCAGCTGGGGACGCGCCGGTGACACCGGGGGAAAACCGCGGGTCACCCCTCGAAGGGACTGCGGGTTCGCGGTGGTTCCTGGAGTCCCCCCGATGTGACAGCTGTGGGGCTCGGGATGCTCCGGTGACAATTTGGAGGGGTGGGCGCTCGTTTTGGGGTCTCCAGGGTGGGTCCTGAGGTCTCCTCCCATCACCACAAAGTCAGCCCCTGCCTCAGTTTCCCCCTCGCTCTGCAGGGACCACCCGGAGCTGATGTTCTGGAATTGGGTTTATTTTGGGGGGGTTTTGGGGTTGGGCTTCTGGGGTGGGCTGGTGGGCCAGTGGGGTGAGCCAGGGTGTGGCCAGGCTGGTGGTCATCTGGGCTGGGAGCTGGCCAGGCTGGTGGGGGGCTGCAGAGCCAAGGGCTGTCCCTTCCAGGGTCCATCTGGACCAGTGTCCATCCAGAGTGGGACCCATGGCTCTGGTGTCCATCTGGACCAGAGTCCAACCTCTCCTGCTCCCATCCACCCCAGGCTCCCTGGCCAGGGCTGCTCCTCACTGCAGAGTGGACAAGAACCATGGTCAGTCCCAAGATGACCCCAAACCCCCTCCCACCAACCTCACCAGGCCACACACCCTGACCCCGGGGTCACCGGTGTCCCCTGGCAGCCAGGCCAGCTCTGGATCTCTGGGAAGAGGAGATCCACAGACCCGGGCCAAGGACTCGAGGGCATCCAGGATGGTGAGCACTGAGTCCATGGGGTGTGGGGGGACAGTTGGGGAGATGTCTGTGGGGAAGGGGGCTGGGGTGGAGGGGAGTGAGGGCGGCTGAGAGGTGCAGAGGGGGTTGGAGGAGAGGGATGCACCCAAAAATGTTCTGAAGTCAAAAGGAGGGTGCCCAAAATTGGGGGAAAGGATCCAAACAAGCACAGAAAGGACCTAAAATAGGGGGCAATGAACCCAAAAGAGGGGGAAAGGACCGAAAACGGAGGGGAGAAAGATCCAAATTCAGAGGACAAAGGACGTCATGGGGTGTTGCAGAGTGTCACAGCGTTTCCCTACCTGTGCCAGGGCGAGCACAGATGCTCAGAGCCAGGAGCAGCCATGGGAACATCCTGAGGGACATAGGGACACATTGAGGGATACAGGGACACCCTGCAGGACACGGGGACACTGCAGGATGGGTCCCCTCAGAGGACCCAGGACCTCAGGGACTTTGGCCCCACCAGGGCCATTGGGGGAGGGATGGGGACACATGGAAAGGGACAGGGAGACACGGCAGAGGATGGGGACATATAGAGGGGAGGGGACACGATGTCACCAGGACACACAGCAGGGGACAATGTCACCACACCTGTGGGGATGCTGCCACCAGGACACAGTTGGCACTGACCCTTGCCCTGTCCCTTAATGCCGTTGGGGTCCCCTGAGCATGGTGGCCCTGGGACACCCTGGTGGCTGTCACTTGCTTCCAGGCCACTTGTCACCAGCTGAACAAGTTCCACCGCCTGCCCTGCTGGGTGGTGACATTTGGCTAGGACACTGTGGTGGTGACAGTGGGGATGTGGTGGCAGGAGCTGCATTGGGCATTGCTTTGCCATGGCCGAGATGAAGGTGCTGGTGGCACTGTGGTGGCACAGGTGGTGGCATTGATGCTGTCCCAGTTCATGTTCCCATCCATGTCCGTGTCCCCCCCATGTCCCTACCCATGTCATTGTCCTCCACATGTCCCCATCCATGCCTCAGTTCAATGTCTTTATTTTTACCCCAGTTTCAGAATTTTCAAAGGGATGAACAGAAATATTTTGGTTTCAAGGCCAAAACAAAAGGATTTACTTGTCCCTGCTGGCAGAGCATCCACATGCTTGGCTGGGTGGGAAGAAACTTTTTTGGAGGCGTTTCCACCCCACTGTCTCCAAAATCAGGGGTTTTGCCCCAGTCTGTTCCCATTTGGCTGTGGAAGGTGCCCATGGGCGAGAGAGAATTGAAACGATGGATTTAAATTGCAGAAGACCTCCAAGGCCACCCAGTGTTGCTTCATGCCACCAGAAGATGCAAAAAGTGAGATTTTTCTGGGGTCAGAAGTCGACAAATGTGCTCTCCACAGTGGATTTCTGATGTTGGTCAGTGGATGTGTCCAGGTGCCCACAGGGAGCCGGGAGGATGTGGAGCCCCCAGCCAGGTGTGTTCCCAACACGGATCAGCAGCACCAGGG